AGTTTAACGTGTGTCAGTTTTATTTGAATACTTATGCCGAGAAAAAATTGTGGGTGCAAATTTTTTTTTATGCACCCGCTAAAAGCCGCTAAATCGCGTTTTTTGCTATAACTTTCTTATTTGATAGCCGATTTTTGAAATCTTTATGCCGTTGAAAAGGTCTCGCTCAGTACTAAAATTGGCCATTAAAAAGTTTTGGCCTTCAAAACTTCACTAATTTTGGAACAACTATCTCTACATTTTTATTTTTAATACTATATATCTAAAGCTCTTAAAAAACGAATTGGCCTTTATTCACAAACAAAAAAGTTATAATGTTTATAAAATCCGACAAAGCCCACCTAACCCACGACCTAGGCGGTTATTGTTTATGACCATAGAAATAATAGAAATATATATACATATCGAGCCCTAACCTCCCAAAAGATGTAAGCGACATTTTTTTTTTTTTTTTTGTTTTTTTAATTGATACAGAAATTTTTCTAGAGCATCTAGGTACATCTTTTTGGCGATTAGGGCTCGATATATGGAACTAGAAGACCCGGCGAACTTCGTCCCGTACAAAATAATTTTTTTTTATTGAAACATTTTGGTCAAAGCTTCTCACCAACAATTCACAGTCACGATTTATATGCTAATATAATGGTTTGGTGGTCAGAAGGTATACTTTCAAGGCAGTCAATCTTAAATAACCAATCGAAAGTGTAATGTCCGAGAAGAAGTTCTTGGAATTTCCCCCAATGTTCTGGCGTTTCACATCCCGGTTAATCGTACAGCCTAATAACTTTTCAGAAGTATAATTTTCTAGAATATTTATATCAATCCTTTAACGAACTTCCAAATTTGCTTTCTATGCGGTTTCTTGAAGGAAAGGTCAAAACGACCCTTTCAGGCGGGAGCTAATGGGTTAAAATGTTATATGAAAATACATATTTCCCATGAAATTTTACTATATAAGTGTTAGCCTTTAATTTCGCTCAGATATTTATTTTACCAAACTACAAACTACTTAGGCCGAGACATGAAAATTTAAGTAGGCCATAAAATAAAAATACGAGCTAACTTTTGCAAATCCATCGAGTTGTTGCGCGGTGTTATTAACTATTTTTTATAGGACCCCTATAACCTCAAAAATGCTAGGAGGACTCATAAAAAATCGCTAGTATTAAAAAAATGGTAAAATAAATAATTGTATATTTTTACTGGAAGTCTCTTCAAGAGAAACAAAGTTTTCCGATAGAAAAATATTCAGCCTTGTCAAGAGTTAATTTTCCCCGAACCGGTTCACTTTTCACTTTTGGTTTCCATGGTTTTACTATGGGCGGATGACGAATTTTTNGAAAAATATTCAGCCTTGTCAAGAGTTAATTTTCCCCGAACCGGTTCACTTTTCACTTTTGGTTTCCATGGTTTTACTATGGGCGGATGACGAATTTTTTTTTCATGCGAAACTCAGGATAAGGCAGATTAATTTTCAAGAATTTTATACCATTTCGACGAAAACTTGCTTTTTCCCCATATAAAATACAGGAAAACTTTGAGCTGTTTAAATATTTTTTGCTTTGAAAATAAAATAGGGGTATATTTTTCTCAGTTTAGAACAATGCTAAGGGGTGAGAGCATTAAAATTCCGACTTTACTTTTCCACATGTATTTTTGGACCACCCTAATGTACAAACGTAGGCATAACTATTTTTTGCCATTCTCTACTTGAAGCATTTTATTTTATTATTCCAAAGCATTTGACTAAACATTTGTTTTCTTTCTGTTAATTTAATTGACAGATGCTTCACCTGGCTGCAAGGCACCCGATATTCGCTTCACTGTCATACGTCCAGAAACCACCACTGAGCAACCGTATGCAAAATTCGAGACAACTCAGATTTATCTACCGGAGGATTATACCACCTCCGATGCGGAGTTTATCGAAAGGATTAACATAGATCTGACCGCCCGTCAGCCTGGCGTCAACGACAATAAGATGAGCGCTATCGTTAATCCCTACCAAGTCGAACTGGATGACCAGCACGGCCTGGCAGGGATGCACGGTGCTGATGACGCACTCGCCGCCATCGACGACGAGGAGGACGAGGCGGCCGACTCCGAAGATGGCACACGCAAACGCAATCAGAATCGCAAGCTGAACAAGAAACGCCGCTCTGGCGGTGGACGTCGCCGCCGCATTGAAAACGAAAATGGGCAAACACGCGGTCGCGGCAGCCGATATAAGCGTCAGGTGATCCATCATGATCCGGATGCATCGCCAGACACAGACAAGTGGGGTGGCAGCAAGTTGGCTGCCGAGGGTGATGTTTACTATGTACATATTGACGACATACTCGAGTCGGGTACACCAAATGCTGAGCTGCGCTTGAAATTGCATAAGTTGAAACGCAAAAGCAAATCAAAGAATTCCACATGCACCGACGACGTCAACAAGGAGCAATGCAAGCAGACATTGTCGAAGAAAAAGAAGAAAAAAGCGAACGCAACCCACTTAACCAAGCAAAAGGTGGGCGAGAAGGTGAAGCAGACACAAGACAAGAATGTCAACATAAAACAGCATCATCGAAGACGTGGTGACAGTCATGAGGACAAACGCGGTGAACAGCGAATGCTGCAGGCAAATCGGAATTTGAATTTGAATTCGAATTTGCGATATCGCCGCGATACCATCGGGGAACCAAGGCTGCAGACTGCTATGACTGCGGCTAATGGCACTGACAGCGACAATGATTTGGAAACGGAGGCGGTGAATGCGATGGATAATAGCGACTTGGCTGCGACAACAATTTGGCGTGGCAGTAGCAATGGCAAAAACATAACGAATAATTATATTAAAATGAGTAACGAGCAGCTGCCGGGCGATGGCGATGTGCCGGCGGTGTATGGCAATGAGACGGGCGCGGAGGCGCTGCAGCGCGTCAAACGCAAGTCCGGCAAGACAACCGGCGCATTGAGTCGCCCCAAGGGCGGCGGAGATTCCAGCTCGAAGACGACAAGTCGCAAGGATAAGGGTGAGTAACGAAATTTGTTTTTTTTTTTTTGGGAGAAGGGGGGAAGGTAATTGTAAAACTAGATGCCTTGTAAGCTAAGAATAGCGTCTTTAATCTCTTCTTTATTGCATCACTTATAATTAGCATGCTGCTTTTTATTGTCACCTCGGCACAACAATAGGAACATATTAATCGCCTTTTTTTTTGTTTTTAAGTATGCACCACAGTACAGTATATATTTAATATTCTTATCCAGCAAAACTTGATGAACAGAATGACAAAGAGACCATATTTTTGTACAATGTAAAAATGAAGTTGTTTAAATTTTCCTTCCTTTTCATGGAAGAACATTGTGACAGTGGCAAATGTTCCTTAGTTTGCCGTCTCATGTGTCATTAACGTCCTTTCTAATTAATAAAAAAATATATATAAATAAATAAAAAACTATCAGTGAATGAATCGTTCCAAAAATGTGATCTTTAAACGTTTCCATAAGAACCGAAACACAATTCTAAAAGTCCCCAAAAACGGTTCCAGAATAACCGAAAAAATAAGTAAAAAGAACTTAAAACCATTCCGAAAGAATTGAAAACGGATCCTAGAGTTCTTAGTTGAACTACCAAATTTTGTTCGTTTCGAGGCACTATGTCATATAGCTGCCATTTACACGATCTGACCGACTTACATACATCAACTTCGTTGTTTTTTTTTTTTTAATGGGCACGTTCAGAAGGCGCAACAGTTCAGTAACTGTTGCGATTGCACCTTCTGAACGCGTTGTTTTGTACTTCTGATCAACTGAACAGTTGCGTGTTAGATGATCGTAATATATTTCTGATCATTTGAGGCAACATGTTGTGTGTTGTTGAATTTGACAGCTAATGTATCAAGCCGTTCAGAAGACGCATTACGATCACTGATTTCTTTAGCAACGGTTGCGCTCAACTGCTTCGCCTTCTGAACCTACCCAATGATATCAACTTGAAGTTCGGCGTTTGGAAGCATTACTTTGTTTTAAATGAAACCTTTATGTGGACAATGCTTAGTTAAATATGTCATTAGCCATGTAAAGTACATATTTTATTTTTATACAAATATCATGTAAGGAATGAATGTAATAGAAGAAATATAAAAAGATGAATTTTTTTTAAAAACGCTTTAAAATCTTAAATTTAAATCCGTTACCACCGGAATCGGTCCGAATTTCCGGTTCTCCTTGGAATCGGTCTCGACAGAACCGGTTCTTTAAACACTCGGAACCATAAACCAATACCAGTCACTGTTCTCTTTTCATAGTCGGCATTTTCAGGTTAGCCGCTGCTTTCCAAAGGAATAAGTCGGTTAATGCAGAAACATCGCGTTACGCTCGTAGCTTACAAACATTTCTTAGAGTCCTCGTGTTTATTTTCTTTTCTTTCTTTTTAAGCCTTCATATATAAATATTATTCATTAAAAAAAATTTCAAGACTCAGCGCACCAAATCAAATTTGTCGAAAAGGCTTTAATCTATCTATACTAGTTACATATATAAAGAGAAGTACGTTTTTTTTGTAACAGGTAATTTGGCGAACGGCTGGTCCGATTTTCATGAAATTTTGTATACAAATACACCACCATGTCATAGGCCAAAAAAAGTACTTTTTCCGGCAGAAGGCCAGGGACCGATATATTTGAAAAAAATCGTATTATGGTCCGATTTGCTTAAAATTTAGTACGTAGGTAGCTTTTTGCCTAGATTAACATATATGATCAATTTTTTTGGTAAGTGAACCAGGGGACCAATATACTCGAAAAAATCTGCTAACATGGCCCATTTTGTTTGAAATTTGGCGCGTAGGCAATTTACTGCCCGGATTAACATATGGGATACTTTTTTGATTAGGTGGACCAGGGACCGATCTATTCCCATTCGCTTGAAATTCGGTACACGTATTATAGATATACATAGAATATAATTGAATGATTGTTTCACAGTTCGAAATGTGTTTTGAAGGCGCCGCAAAGCAAGCGGATATTGGCTACTTATCTATACTTATTATCTATACCAATTGTATTAAGAGAAGGGCCATCTTCTTTTTATAAGAGGTGATCTCGCGAATGGCGGTGCCAATTCTTTTTGAAAAAAAATTACTCCCCAGGTGGCTCTGGAGTCGAGTTATTACTAAAAATCTTATTTATTATCCGAGATATATATTGGTAACGGCAGATTTGAAAAAAAGAGCTTGATGAATACCCTCAGATTCAATTGTAAGACATTTATGGTATTTCGTCTGAAATAACTTTATGTATATTGGATGCGTGTGGACCAAAGCACACATCACGTCCTAGTCCC